ATTTTGTTTTTATTTCAATAAATTAATACTATAAGGCTGAGGTAAAGCATGGATTTTGTTTCAAAACTAGAAAGTTAAGATTTAATTAATCACTTTAAAAAACAACAAAAAACAACAACACCTCATTCATGTGGAAAACAGAGTTTAATTCCTTAGCGGCCTTACATAGCGTCCAACATTTCTCTGATGAAAAAAGGGATGTCCCATTCCATAATGATAATTTTACTATTTATACCTCACATATCTTACTGGGTTGCCCCAGCCACTCTCGGCAGTTTCCAACATATATAAAACTATAACAAAACATTAAATATTTTAAAAAACCTTCCCTATACAGGATTGCCTTCAGATGGCTTGGGGGTCAGATAACTCCATACCTTCTATCATTTCTCCAATGAAAATAGGGACATCCTAAGGAAAAGTGGGACATTCTGGGATCAAATCAGAAACCAGGACGGCTTCTCTAAATCAGGGATGTCCTTCGAAAGCAGGGACACTTGGGGGGGTCTGACCCTACTCTTTCTGTCCTTGCACTTGGAATAAAAAGTGGTGAGGATTTGTTTAGCATATTTCAGACACACAATCATGGACTTATAAGGCCATAAAGTATATAACAGAATCCTAACCAAGCTTCTGGTTCCAGTCCTGATGCCAGAGCACAATTTCTCTGGAGCTGATACAAAACTTGCACTGTGGCCTCCCTTCTCCCTATGCCCCATAAACGACACTGCCATTGGAAGAGTGATTGGTGCCTTTCAGCTTCTTGGTTTCAGCTCCCCCCCCCCCGGCTGCCTGATTTGTACTTATAGTGGACACAGCAGTATGATATGCATGCATATTCTTTAGGCGTGCAACAAATGCCATTTACAAACTGCTCCATATCCTGGGATACAGTGTCAGATCTTGCAGGCACTCACGAGACCCGAGGCCTGACTCATTTATTGACATAAATGACATATCTAACACACATCTACTCCAGTCGCATATTGACCATCAATGTGCTCACCATCAACTTCATGGTACATTTGTTGCGGTTTAGAAAAGAAGAAAAGGAAAGGAAAAACTCAGAGATCTGCTCCTGTTTGCTGAGGGGTGTACTAGTATTAAAAAAGAAATGGAAAGTAATCATGCCTCTAATCCTAGGGCCCCATCCGCTATAAGCCTCTCTCAATCCAACACATTTTGCTGTTGCAAACCCTGAAGACATGAGAACCTATTGGCCTGATTTCTCAGACTCTGATTTATAGTCTGAACTGAACCACAGCTAGATCAAAAGACCATAAAGAATAATATAACTCTTACTGAACGCCTCCCGGGTATGTCTTTGAAAGGACAAAAAGTGTAGAAGTGAATATAATATTATTTTTAAGTTTGTGGTGAACAGTACGAACACTTTTAAAAATCCAGTGTCCATTAAACCACCTAGTGCAAATGACAATGCTATAGAACTGTAAAGGACCTGTAATCCAAACTGACACAAAACAGACGGTGCGCTGTGGTACTGCTTTTTGGCAGTTGCCCAAGGCTGCTTAAGTAGTCTGGCTGGTTGATGGCTTCGCCTTCTCTGTTTAGCTGCAGATACAAGCCTATTAGGACCAAACTAGCCGTGATATAGCTGAGCCACCTTTCCCCTTCCTCTGAACTAAAAGCAACTGGACTGGTCCCTAATTTGGCACAAAGGCTAACCTTTCCTCTCCTGAACTTGTTCACCTCCTGAAGATACAGGATGGAGGATTAGGAGCCAGCTGGTGAGCACAAACCAGCAACAGATGGAATTGTGTCCTTGGAGGAGCAGGGCACTGTGGATGCTGATTCCCTGAAGCCACCAGAAGAAGGCCCTGTGAAAGAGGCATTGGCTACATCTTCATGAAAGCCATTATACAATCATCCTAAAAACAATTTTTAGAATTAGACATTAAACAACATACCTACCGGTATATATCTTAAGAAGCATGCAGGTATACAGTTTAAAGTGAAACACTCATTTTCTAGAAGAGAAGTCTGAAAAAAGCAGACAGATCAAGAAAGCCAAGTAGCTTTTCAGAGTCTGATTGCCTACTAAACAAATTAGAGGTGTATGTGCGTGTTTTATGGCTGGTCATATACTAGGAGGCTGTCTTTGGATGGAGACATGACATTGTTTTCAGGGAACATAACTTGCACTAGTTGCCCTAGCATTTCTAAAGAGTTTTATTTGGGCAAACTGAGATCAGCTGACTATGCATCTTGGCTACAGATGCCCTGGCTGCTTCTTTGTAGGAGCTCAGGGGTTGTTTACACATGAAGCTGCAGAAATACTGAAGACTGAAAGGTGTCTTTGATTGGCACACAACCCCATCCTCAAATAAGTGTTTGTGCAAACCGGTCTGTTTTGAGAAGTGGATGTTTCTTTCCCCCATGCCTCTACTTCCATTTTAAAAATGCATCCAGAATAGGATTTTAGGAATTCTTGGTGCAAGTTACTTAAATTAGTCTCAGGGAACCAGCATTGGTTTTGCGAAGAGGAAAAGAAGTACTTGCTTGACTCCTCGGAACTCAGAGGGTAGCTGTTAAGCCACATTCTTGTTTCCAAATATGTACATATGTATGGATGCCTATTTTAAGCAATTCTGCACCCCACCACGCCCTAGGAAAGACAACCCCTGGGGTTCCTTCCAACTCTACAATTCTGTGGTTCTATGGAAATGCTTTCAAAAGGGGATTCATTAGAGAGGTGAAGCCCTAAAGGGCAGCTAGGGAATAAAATGGTCTCTCCCTGTTTCCCTTTTATCTCCTCTGCTGCTGTTTGTTTCAGTTCTTCATCTTGCCCTAGCGCTGCCTGTGAATGCTAATCAGGACCTTTTCCAAGCCTCAGGCAACCATTTCCAGGTAATTGGTCCAGATACCTGAAACCTGACCCACTCGTTTATACACCAAAGAGTTTTGGTAATCCATGGCTATTTTAAGAACGCCTGTGGCCAACCCAGCCCAGAAGACGCCTAATCTGTATGCTTAAGAAAGAGTAAATTACAATAATCACAACCGTATCATGTTTTTATGATAGAGTATCATAGTGATTTTATAACTACAAAGCAGATAATAGCGACGGAGCTTTTAAAATCCTTACCATAAAATGCTTTCCATTCGAACAGCTGCATGTCTCTAGTCTGGGCACCGACAGTTAATAGGTAAAAGCGTGTTTACTTACTGGCTGCTCAGTCTTTCCTGAAAGTCTGAGGGTTGCTTCAGCTAGGCAAGTTCTTTACCAGGCCCCACTTGTATTGCTCTTGCATATGCAAGTGCAATGTGTGAGACAGGTGATGTACGCGGGTCAACAGTAACTTTTATGGTTGTGGTTACTCAGTTCACATTGTAATACTGGGGGGGGGGACAGGAGATGTGGTGGTGGGGACTACCTTCAGGGTCTGTGTAATGTCCCTTGGTCTTGGCTGATATGGGTGGTGGTGGTGCTAAAAGTTGCCAGGCACAACTTTTGTTAGGTAGTCTGCAGGAAAAAGTCAGTGGGTGATTTCTGATTCTGAATGGCTAAGAAACTCTGGGAATGCATAGATGGGGGGGGCATGCCTTCCACACCCACTCTCATTCAGTGGCGTAGCGTGGGTTGTCAGCACCCGGGGTGAGTGTATGCTGAGGATGGCCATGCCAGCCCAAGCCCTCACCCGCAACCAAGCAGTGGCAGCCTAAGCCAGTGACGAGTGAGGCAAACCAAGGGGAGGGAGAAAGAGGCTCAAAGCCGCCCTGTGAGGAGGGCAGACCTGAGTGCAGTGGTGCCCCGTTGCAAAGGAGGAGGCAGCTACCAAAGCCTCTCACCTCTGCTCGGTGGGCAACGGCTGCAGCATCCTCCCCTGCCCTTCCAGCCAGCCCAGGGGCAGGGAACATGTGGATGTTCCTTTGCAGGCTACGAGGAGGAGGTGCCAGCGCTGCCCTAGCCCTGAAGGTGTGGCTGAGGTGTGGCTTGGCTCCTCGTGGCTCCAGCCATGATGAGAGCTTGTTGTGGGGGCACCTGGTTGCACATCCTTGCACCCCTTCAAAAATCTGCACCTAGGGCCAAGGCCCCCCCTGGCCCTCCCTAAGCTATACTCCTGCTCTCATCTAAATCTGGTGTAATCTAGGTTTGTGTGCATGTGAAAGAGAACAAAGGGGAACCTACAACTGCCACCATCCCTGACTATAGGCTACACTTCTTGGTCTGATGGGAACTGGGAGTGCAATAACATCTAGAAGGTCACAAGCTAGCCACTCCTGGTTTAAGATGTACCATAGATCTGCCTCAATCTATGTTCTATTTACATATATGAAAATGTACTAAAATATTATAAACACTCTGAACTCCTTCCAATCCAAACCTAGGTAAACGCTACACCCCTGCAATGTTTCAGCACTTCAAGCTCATATAGGCCCTTTCCTATATGCATCTGTAAACCCTTAGGTGGCAGGTAAATTGGCATGCACTCTGCAAATATCTAGAGCAAATTATCAATCCTGCCTTCCTCCAACCAGTTCGTTAATTAAACAACAACAATCTGCTGCATCCCCCAGCTTGCTACTGCTGTCAGGCCGGAATGTCCTGCTCTGGCTGAAGGCAAGCCAGAAAGTAAAGACAGAGAGAAGCAGCCTGAATTTCTGAGCAACAGGAAATCAAGGAAGCAGGGTGTGGGGAGATGGAAACAAGGTATCATAAGAAAAGGTAGAAGTGAGACCTTTTGATCAGGTGGTGTTCAATCAGAACTGGGTAAATTTCTACCACCTGGTCTGTCTGCTCTAAAAAGACAACCACCCAACACACAGACAGATTTGCTCTGCAGGTCTCATCCAGATGCACACACCTTTCAGCCATTAGTAATCAACAGACCCTTTCCTTCCCAGCCTAGTTGAATTCTGTTAGTACTGAAGGACAAACTGCATCCTGCCACGTCCAAAACAGAATGAAGCCCCGCCTCCCTAGTTTTTAAGACCACCCCATGGATGGTACTGGAGCAATTAACCCAATGTGTGTGTGGGGGGGTGCGAGATCTGGGAAGCTTACAGAGATAAAGTGGCAGTTTTGCATTTAACACCAGCATTTAGCACTAGCTAATAAGAGCTGCTTGATTAGAGGGGCGAGGAAGGAAGTGTGTGTGTGTGTGTGGGGGGGAATTGGCAAGTGCCTCCTTCCATTTCCCCCCTATCTAGTTGGTATGATCCTTTCCCTCGAAAAGAGAACTTCGGGACCTCTTTCTGCAGTTCAAGCGGAGCAAGAAAAATGGCGTCGTGCATCTTTTCCTTGAGGTAATAGCGTGGTTATTTTCCTTCTGTGCGTAAGAATGAGGTATGCACTTAGGAATAAAACCCAGTCTTTGGAATGGCTCAGAATACGAGTTGTGGGATAGGAAGCTTCCTTTTCAAACCTAAAATCTGGGAGGAACTCATAAAACGGCCTTAGCCAAGCTGCTTGCCTCCCGCTTTCAGTTTCCCCTGTGGAAAATGAGGACAGTTACTCAGTCGTGTCTTAATAGGATTCCTGTAGAGTTGACAGGACCCAGGAGTGGGTCACAACAGGAACACTGTCATGCAAATATATGGTAAATGGTTAAGAAATGGGTCCCCAAATTCATGTTTGGGTTAAAAGTGGGTCCTGGGGTCTGAAAAATGACATACTTACTACACACTTACTACTATCTGACATACTTACCACAAAGCCAGTATTAATTATTCTTGAGTTGCTCAGGTCTTAACATGCCTTCAGGTGAAGCCACACCCTTGTCCTGGTATTGCCTTTATGTTGGTGCTTTGAATACAGTACCTGATTGATAACGGGATCCTCCTATTCCTCTTTGTTCTCCACATGGTGCTAGTCCCTTTTAAGTGCGGATTACTGTATGTTCTTGTTATAAGAATTTAAAGTCTCAAATATATAAATTAAATGTTAATAAATTTACAAGGCAAACACATGCATAAGTATCTTCTTCTTTGGCAATCACTCGTAGCCGAGTAAGATTGTCTTCCATTAACACAGTTTTAACAATGAGTCCAAAAGTGACTGTGGAGGCCAATTCTGGATCCAGACATCCTTCCACAGTGGGGACATTGGTTTCCGGGTGGGAGCTGATCACGGTGTGCATTTGCCAAGCGTGCCTTTCTCTTAGTACGTTTCTCCCTTGCGTCCTGAGTTTGAGTGTCTTCAAAGCCCATGACACCTTTGGTAAAGGCTGTCCTCCAACTGGAGCGCTCGCAGGCCAGTGTTTCCCAGTTGCCAGTGTTTATACTACATTTTTTTAAGATTTGCCTTGACAGTCTTTAAACCTCTTTCGTTGACCACCAGCATTATGCTTTCCATTTTTAAGTTCGGAATAGAGTAGTTGCTTTGGAAGACGATCATCAGGCATCCGCACAACATGTCTAGTCAAAAGTTGATGTTGAAGAATCATTGCTTCAACACTGGTGATCTTTACTTCTTTCCAGTACACTGATATTAGTTCACCTGTCTTCCTAAGTGATGTGTAAAATTTTCGGAGACACTATTAATGGAATCTTTCGAGGAGTTGGAGATGGCGTTTATAAGTGGTTCATGTTTCACAAGCATATAGTAAGGTTGGTATTACAATAGCTTTGTAAACAAGCATTTTGGTTTCCCTGCGAATGTCCTGGTCCTCAAACACTCTGCACTTCAATTGGGAGAAAGCCACACTTGCAGAGCTCAGGCGATGCTGGATTTTGGCATCCATGTTGGCCCTTGTGGAAAGATAACTGCCTAGGTAGAAGTGATCAACATTTTCCAACATTACACCATTGAGTTGGATTTGTGGCGCTGCAGAGGGGTTATTTTGTACTTGTTGGTGCAGCACTTTGGTTTTTTTGTAAGCTTCTGCAAAGATATTTAGGATGGTTTGGAGGTCATCCTCTGAGCATGTGCACACTATGTTGTCATCAGCATACTGAAGCTCTATGACGGAATTTATGGTAACCTTACTCTTTGCTTTCAGCCTGCTCAGATTGAAAAGCTTTCCATCTGTTTGATACATGATTTCTACTCCGGTGGGGAGTTTCCCTTCGACAAAGTGTAGGATCATGGCAATGAAAATAATGAATAGAGTTGGGTCTGAAGCAGTGTAGGAACGCAGTCCTGAAGCCATTTTGACTTTCCCAGGGACCTCAAGTGTTCCTCTGCAGTAAGGGAGGCAAATGGGGAAAGCCTCCCCATTGTCTCTTTGCTCAAAAATCCTGTCTTAAGGGTATATCTGCGTATGAATAGAGTGAGCCTGTGACCTGGATTCAGGAACTATAGTATTCACCATCACAAAGAGTAGCCAGACTGCTCAGGTAATGCAATCAGAGACCATTATCAAGCAATCAGTGACCATGATCAGGTATCCTGGCCTTAGGATTCTGCTGTAGACTGCCCCTTCTGTGATGTATGTATGATATATTGGGGGGTGGCCTTAAGCTTACAGGATGGCAATTTCAAAAAGTCTATAAAAGGGCTTGCACACCATTGTTTGGAGTTCCTCCTCCCTCCTGCATGTGGTGAGTGAGGACCCTGTTGCAACAGTTTAATAAAGATCAGGCTTACTAGCTGCTTTGCTTCTCAATATTCTCTGGTTGGCCTCTGTTATTTTCTCCTACCGATAGGGAAACCACTTTAGGACCCTATACAGGCTCTTCGATACACTATAAGGGGGGAAAAAGAGCAGATTTTGTTAACAACTGTGCTGATTGGCTCATGTGTGAGATGTTAGCTTGCTAGTCGTGCACCTGTCCGACCTATCCATCGCTGATGCTGTGGAGCACTGCGTCTTGTGGGAATGTGCCGTATTAAATTATAAAACCAGCATGAAAAATTTAATCCAGTAAAACAGGTTGTCAGATTTTTATACGACTTCCCTTCCTTCGTTTTGTTGTTATGACTGGGATCCAAACCGATTAATAAATAGGAGTTTTGCCATTTTATTTCAACGGCATGATTGCACCTTTAAGCATTTTCTGTTAAGCAAACTGATATATTTTTTTAAAAAATTGATATTTTCCCACCAACCATCCTCTATTGAGTATTAGTAATAGTTTATTCTTTATTTAATAATACACAATTTACAGCTGTTTGCATTCATTTATTAATAGCCCTTTCCACTGAAGAGGATTAAGAGAAATAATTATTTTTACACACCATAGGGTCCCTGTCAAGTATTAGGTGGATGTCATTACCGTCTCGACAGTTGGGAGTCAGAACTGCAAGCATCCAAGTAGGTATATAAAGCTAATAGCGTTCAAAGTTTTCTTCATCTTTCAAAAACAGTTTTGCTAGCCCACAAACTTTTGTCCATATAAAGCTGGGATTAAAAGATAGAGTCAGTGGAATATCTAATGCAAGACCTACGCTAATATGTGTTAGCTCAATATGAGTTAGCAGTACAAAGGAGAAATACAGAGAAAAGTAGCATGTGCAGAAGACGCAGGCTTTAGTGATTCAGCATTGCTTGGAAGATTCTGTATGCCATGAATATATGCAATTTTCTACTACCAATTAAAAATACTCTCATTGAGTTTTTGCAGATAAATTATTGTAGGAATATAATAGGCTTGAGGGGTAGGGGATATAGAACCGATCCAAAGTTTCAGCTAAAATTTGGAACATTTCAAGTTCTTCTTGAACAGTTGAGAAATTTCCCTCTTCTGCTGAAGAACCTTATGCAAACTGGTCAAGTAACTGTGAATGGGGTAGAGAATTTCAGCCACAACTGTAGATCTGGTTTTAATATTATTGGGTTTTGTTTGACTGTTTTTGAAGAAGGCAATTGGCCTGGGCCCTAATTTTTTCAGTCCTCCTTTTCATAGCTCATCATCCATCAGTATGTATTAACAATAGAGCTTAATTCAACAGTAAGTGACTGGAAATGTCTTGTCCAGATTTAACCTTTAGAAATATTCAGTGAAATGCCCCCCTGTGTTTTTCTGCCTATGATAGCAGGGCAGATTTGGGGATGTAATTTTCATTTGGGAAAGAACAAGTAACTGAAGTCCAAAATAATACACGTTAAAACTAATTGCCTGTGATGTATAAGAAGGACTGCACTCTGCATTCTGTTGCTTAGGGCAAAACAGTACATCAATCTGGATTGGGGCATTGCGCCACTTTCCTGCTGCCATTTGCCCCCAAGGGTACAGCTTGTAGTAAACATAGCCTTCAGAGGAAAATACTGGTGGTGGGATCTTTGGTATGGAGCCTCAGTCCAGATTGGGACCACATTCCAGAATAGGGTCTCTATGGCTGCTTTTCCTAAAAATTATTATTATTTATTAAATTTCTCTTTATTAAATTATTATTTATTGCATTTCATCAGATGATCACAGGGCAGTTTACAATATAAAAACACACACACAAAAGTAGATAACAAGCAAACACATACACCCACCCCGTCCCATGGTCAGCCAAGTATGCTTTAAAAGATGCATAACAAATGTAATGTGTAGTTTGGCTGAAGGAGAGATGGGGAATACGATGTTCACTTTACACTACTCAGGATGATAATAATAATAATGCATAACAGGTGCAACAGTGATGCTGATCTTCTACTTCAGTGGAATAGTGTTCAAAATATTCAGTGACAGTTTGGAAGCAGGTGAATGAAGCAGAAAATGAAGCAACAGGTTTTCCCAATTCTTACCAAAAATGGTGGAGATTGTGAAACCGAGTAGTTAGCTCTACTAAGCACAATGGGGCTTATGTCTGGCTAAATATGTATACAACAGCACTGAATGGTTTTGTAATGAACATCTATTTTTACCATAAAATTCTATGCATCTATTGTGGGATTTTGGATATATTGTATATATATGCGGGAGAACATGTCTTGATTCTTCCTCCTAGAGTGAGATGGCTTAATAAGGAAAATAATAGAAGGATTTGTATTTAAAAAAATAAATAACACGTAAGAAGGTAGTTGAAAACACTTCTGATGCATTTATAAAAGTAAGTTGTACTAAAATAAATCCCAGTACATTTTAAAAAAACACATTTCATACTTTAAAAAGCTACTTTTAAGATGGGAATTAAGCATTTTAATTGCACAGGGATTTATCAAAGCATTATCAGTACAAAAGAAATTCTTTTTCTCGTGCATTAGTTGCATACTAATTAACACAGTTTGATCTTCTCTAGATGAGCATGTTCTGAATTATTACAAATGGGAGAAAAGCGGTCTGTATACACAATATTATTTTATAGCATTTATTAAGAAATTGGAGTTTTTAATTGCTCCTTCTGATGTCTCAGAAACAGATGAAAAAGGACTCTA